ACTGGGACAAGAAGGCGCCATCCTGTAGCGCTTTTGCATGGTAAGAACAACCAACGCTCCCAAGCAGCTATCACACAGATTTGAGCAATGGCGAAAGCATAGAGGCAGAGATCTTGATGCTCTCTCTCGAACTTGTCGGCAGCTTTCCCAACACAGATTCCGCAGCCATCTCTTGAAGATAGTGCTGCAGCGTTGCAACGTGCTGAATCCTCATCCTCCACAGAAGGTCGTGCACTGGCACACCTGACTGGTATGCATGTACAGCTGCACCTCCACGGATGCACCCCGGCGTCAAACCCAAATCTCCAGGCACTCCAAGCACTTTCAGGACTTCATCCCATCTCCGCCGGAACGTGTGAGCAGAGTACGGGAAAAGGAGGGCTTCAGGATCCAACTTTATGAAAGCTTTTTCACAGGCAGTGACTAACTCCAGATCCTGGACGGTAGCGTGTTGCTCTTTGCCACCGCCTCTCCGCCTTGACTTTGGCTCCCGCACTCTCAGACACAACCGATCCAGCTTATCGGACAGCAAATCGGAAGGCAAGACTAGGTCAGCCCTAGTTGCTTTGAGTACCTCCCCAACTCGCAGAATGCCCCTAAAGGCTATAAGCAAAACCAGTGCGAATCTGAACCACTTCCAGCCGAGAGCTACTGCAGCCACAGCTTTGCAGACAGGCCACGGAAAAGGCAGCCGGTGGACCAAAGGCTCCAAAGCTTCCATTTAGTTACAAAATCCCAACAAATCTTAGAGTGCGCCTTAACATCAGGGAACTTCCGAAGAGCAAAAGCAACAAGATGCCGAAAGGCAGAAAGAGTTGCGCCACTCCGAAACAGGAAGTCACCGTAGAGCTCGAGAATGGGAGCCACCGTAGCCGAAGAGCACGTCAACAGCTTTGCGGACTCCTCGTCACAGTCCTCGAGGATCCACTCCAAGAAGCCATCCCAGAGGCGTGTCTCAAGTTTAACCGTCTTCGAATCGACGAGCTCCACAGTTCCAATCTTCAAGCCGGCTCGTGCAGAGGCTCTCTCCGCCGCAGTGGTTTTCTTTGGCCCTGGATTCTTAGCCTCCCCGATCCGGCCCTTCGCGCACTTGGCACAGGCACTTGCGTCCAGCCTTCGAAACTCAGGTCGATCTCCACTGGCCCCAGCAAGAGCCATTGCAAGAGTGGTGCTCAAAGATTTCGGATAAGGCTCAGCCAGCTTCGTGAACAGTTGCTTGCGCATCTTGCACCATCCCCTAAGTAGGACATGCCTCTCACATCCAGCACACAGGGTTTTCTGGCCGCGAAGCCAAGTGTTGGTCAGCACACGAGTGCGTTTTCTCCAAGGCGTGGAAAAACGGCAGAAGTCGAACAGCCAAAAACCTACATGGGCTCTCTCTCGAAGCTTGAGTACTGAAGGCAAACTCCAGATGAACGATGCCCAAGGGCTTTCAATCCAAAATGGAAGGCGCAGGTCTAGGCACAACTGAGCAATCTCTGCGACAAAAGCAGCAAAACTGTTTCCTTGATCTACTTTGAGTTGCTGATGAGGCAGCAGTCCTGGAATCCCTGCTGGGAAGGAGGTACTCCTCCACGCTGGCGTTATCGCTCTCGACAGCGACGCGCACACTGGGGCAGCTCCTACTCCAAGCACGGATCCGCTCCTTACAAGTTCTCTGATTTCATCTTGAACATCAGGATCTATGCTCATTCGAATCCTTGATGTGATATGTTAAGACCCAGCGACCCGTCAATCTCGCCAGCTCGTTGGCAACTCCATGGCTGCCTGAAAACAAATCCATATACCCTGGCTTGTCGACAATCTTGCTCAACTCAACCCCTTCGGGAACAATGAAGTTGCCTCGCAGCATGCTACCAAAGGTACCCGTCTTGGAAGGCAGAGAAGATCGCCTCGAATCCCTGTCCAGAGCAGCAAGGGTTTCTTTTGCAGGCTGTTTAAGGAGGCACTTGAGCTTTGAGTTGTGAGCCTTCTTCCTGGCCTTTTTCTGGAACTCCACTTCTCTAGGAGCGCTCTTCCGAACTTCCTCTAGGTCCGGTATCCCTGAGAGTGCCCAAGGATCTGAACCAACTGATTCAAGCCATTTGTCCAAGCCACGAAAGTCTCCAGCCATCGCATCAGGCCACCAGTCAGGTACAGGGTCCAAAGGAGAAGGAATTTCCTGGCAACGTGATGGTCCATCCGCAGGATTAATGGAGGTGGGGATATAGATGAAGAAGCTATAAAGACCACCGCCTAGCACATGTGGGAGAGATGCTTGCAATTCTCGGTTAAACTGTCGGGAAGCGCTTCGACCTTTTAGGAGGCACCCTAGAGCAACTTGCGAATCTCCACCAATAACAACTCGAGCGGCCTTCCCTTTGATCTTCGCAAGCTTCTCGGATTTGAGAAAAGATCGGAGTTCTCCTATGTTGATGTGACGTGGACGTTTCACAGCCCTCTTCCAACGCAGCTTAAATTTGCCCGATCTCGACAATGCAACCCACAAAGGATGAGCCTTGTAAATGCAGTCGGTTCCGCCTGGCAGTTCGTTCTCGGGATCCAAGTTGCCATGCATCCTTTCTCGGGCAGCAGCAGGAGCCAAGAGCTTTGTCCACGTACCTTTGCGAAGACAATGTCTGCTAAGCTCGGCTGAGAAAGTGCTCCCTACCTTGCATGACACTCCAGCTTCAGCAGCATTCGACGCATCTACGGCATGAATGTCCTGGGAATACTCTGCTCTCAACTCAACCACAGCCAATGGCAGAAGCCCTGCACAAAGAACCAACTCTTCTCGAAGCTCAGCGCCTAGTTTAAAAGCTTCATCTCGATCTCTTGATTTCATCGCAATGAAAACCTCATTGAGCAAGGACAACAGTCTTATGCGGAAGATGACTAACGAAATGAGGCCGCCAACAATGATCTCCAAGATTCCCCCAGTCACAGCGCCAATCTCCAACACGAGATTAATAACCTTCATGAGTGGAGCAGCCCTCTTAAGTGAACCACGGATCAACCCGGCCTCTCCGTCGATCATACATCCCCAGACCTGGGCGCGCAGACTGTCTCTTTCAGCTTTATCAGTGTGCGGGATGAGGTTCTCACGCTTGTAGGCTCTTTCGGCTTGATCGGCTAGGTTGGATGCAGTAGTAGGGCAAGAGGCTACCTGAGCTGGGTCTCGTGCATCTATGGAATAAGAGACGAAGTCATCAACGACAACGCCGCAACCAGACTTTCCCCTAGGCGGAGCAAGGTTCATGGCAATCAAGTTCTGCTCATCGATTATGCCTTCTTGAGTGCAAAGTCCAGCATGACATGTCTGAGCAATCTCCACTGCCTGGGTGTCACCCATCGCAAGGCAATTCAGCCCCACGTAGATTTTGTCGGCGTTCCAAAGATCCGGTCGGAAAGCCTGAAGTGAGGAAGCTTCGCGTGGGTTCAAAGTGCCAACTAAACAGTTTCTCCTGCACCGATCTGCACTGACATGGAATAAATGATAGAAGTCACGGGTATCATTGCTGCTGACGTACAGCCGCTCCCCGTTCTCCAAGTGAAGATGAGTAAGTGCTTCTCCTGACCCCAAAGTCTGAATAAATCTCCCCGGAGGGCTCTCAAGTAGGTTATGTGGCCTTGAATCCAGAATCAAACGGTCGAGCTCCAGAGACTTCAAAACGGCAAAAACTCCTGATCCAAACTTGTGTCTGACCTGCCCCTCGGTGAAGAGCTTGACCCTGTTGGACTTGTCCAGCAGCTGGCACAGCTTCAATCTCTCCTCACGTGAGCAGTGGACTCTGACACGGGGGACTTCGCCCATAAAGTCTTCAGGATCAGTGGCATACTCAAAGGGGTGCTCATAGATTTGTTTGGAATGCGCATCCAAGAATGGAGTGGGGTCAACGTCTGGGAAACCACGGAATTGCAGACGATCAGATTCTACAGGTTTAAAGGCCCCCACTTTTGATCCACAAAGCCGTCCAAGCTCTGGATTTCCGCCTTCGAGAGGAGAACCGCTGTCCCTAGTCAACTGGTTCAAATTTTGGAGTGCACTTTCGAGATCTTCTATCTTGCCCGCAGTTCTCCCCATGTCTGCGGCGCTGAGGACGCCCAACTCTAGCCAGGCATCAAGGAAACACTCAAAGCGCTGCACAGCTTCCCATTGCTTTTCCGAAAGTGGGCCACCACTAAGGCAACTGGGCGGCGCTCTGAAAGGTCTACCCAGCTCGAGGAAATTCAACAAGCAGATCTGCACACTGACAAAGAGTTTCTTCAGCTCTCCCGGTGCTAGGCTATGGGGATCTGCTTTGAAAACCTCCGGGTAAGGTAGAGGCATAGGCCAGGAACCTTCTCCTGCAACTCTGCTTGGTCCGCCAGCTACTTCATCTGGCTCGGCTTTGCGAAAGCAGCTCTTTAGAAATTGCCCAAGGCGGGGGCACCTAAAAATTTCATGAACAAGATGCACAAAAGCTTCAAGAGGATCAATAGGTCCAACACATGAGCCGGGAACATGACGAACGGGATCTCGCTCTACTCTTCCAGGTAGGCCCGACGAAGGGCAATGCTGAGGTCCCTCTTTACAACGTTGTCTCGGCTGTCCAAGGGCTGGGCCACCAAAAGGCAAGGGACTTGGATTCGAGGAGGTAGGCGGAGCCGAAGCTCCGTCCCTGATGCCAGCCTCCTCGGCCGACTTGCGCATCACTTGTCGGTCTTTTGCTCCGATCCACCTTCCGACTTTTTGCCTCCCTTTCCTTTCCCTTTTGGAGGCTGGCCTCCAGGTGGATCCTCCGAATTCTGATTTCCGCCATGGCCCCGTCCACGTTCCGCAGCTTGAAGCTTCTTCTTGGCCTCGTTGTAGCTCTCGCGGTCCTTGAGGCTCCCAAGGAAGATCTCTGCCCACCTTGGGTCGTAGAGTGCACTTATCTGACTCTCGATGGGGCTCGGCAGAGTGTGCTTGGAGAATTCCCGAGCCGAGATCTGCTGCACAACCACGCCCGAGCTGAGCAAGTCCCTGTACTCAAGGCAGCTGGGGTCTGGCCAAAGTCCTTTACCATCTGCCCCTCGATTGACTCGAAGATCAGTCTTGGGTTGTCGTTGAAGGCTTTGGTCAGGGCTCGCAAAGCGGTGGCGTGGGACCTGCGGGCCCCACCGAAGGAGCTGTCTCCAGTTGCACTGCTGCTGCCGCTCTGGTCTAGCACAGCTTCCAGGTCTGGACTCTTCTTCGCCTTCTCCTGGGCCATGCTGCTCACAAGGCGGGTTAAGTGCGCCACAGCTGTCTGCATTAATGCATTGCCGTCCTGCTCGACAATCTCCTCCAGCTCGGGCTCCTCGATAAGCTCGCCGAAGATCTCTCCGCCATCCTCGTCGTCCAGCACCTCTGGGATGGGGTTCTCCTCGATGCGAGTCTTCTTGGCCCCGACAAGCTTTGCCATCTCCTTCAGGCTCTCCTCGGGGATCCCGGCTGCACGTGCCGCTGCCACAGTCCAAAGGTCCAGACCTGCCAGGTCCTTGCTCATCTGGGACGAGGCCGCCGTAGTCTTTTTCCCACTTTGCGGGGAAGCTTTCGGCTTCGCACCCATGTTCGAGCTCCCGGCCCTCTGCCCCACCAAGGTCTGCAGCATCTCGCGCATGTCGGCCAATCCAGATTTGACGAGGCTCATCCGTTTGAAGATTCCGTCCCCGCCTCCCCCAGACTCTGCCGGTAAACGCGAACTGGTCGTCTGCCACCTTCACCAACCTCGGCGAACGGAAGGATCCCATCCCCGAAGCTGTAGGTCGGGCCCACGTTGCTGAAGTCCACCTTGGCCTCGTCGTGCATGGAAAGGACCCCGACCCATGCCTTAATGAGCACCTCTGGGAGGGGGTTCTCAAAACCGGACAAGGAGCAGGCTACCACGTCAATGCTGATGGCCTTGCCGAGCGTAGTCTTTTCGAGCTTCCGCTTCGCGACCTTCTTCGCCCAGGCGGCGCCTGGAACTGCGACAATGATCCTTCCACCCAGTTCCGCTACGCAGATTATGGCAGAGGTTTCTCCAGCAATGCAACAGCCAAGCGTCCCGACCTTGTAAACAACTTGCGTCCGGCCGTCTCTGAAGACAAGGGCGTCCCGGGCGCCAACGCCCTCGTCTGCTTCACTCTCCTCAGACATCAATCCTCAGAAGGGGGCCACTGGAACCCCGCCTCTCGGACTGCTGCTTTTGCTTCTCTCTCGCTCGGAACTCCCACGAAGATGGCGTCCCCGAAGGCGCCGTCCTTTTCCACAAAGGCCCTGGCACTCCGCCAGGATCTCTCAATCTTCACCGGCTCGGTGTAGATGTTGCCACTGCGATCCTTCACAATGATATACGGCCGGTTAGCGCAATCTTGTGCCTGCCCGAGGAACCAAGGTTTCCACCTTCCAGCGCCCTTTTGAGGAAAGCTCCTATCTCTCTTGCAACCCCCAAGCGAAACTCCCAAGTCTGCACGTCCCCTGTCTCCTCCAGAGTGGGCGCCGAAGAGCTCGCTGCAGTAGCTGTCTGGGAAGTAGCCGGAGCCGGATCCGCAGCCCTTGGAGGCCCTGTCGAGTCAGAGGTGACCGGGGCCGAGTAGCCAGCAGGGAAGGAGACTACCTCGTACCCTTCAAGCTCGGACACACGCAGCTGGAGAGCGGCCACCTGATCTTGTAGTAGCCGAAGTTCTCTTCTCAACTGCTGGACCTCGCTGTCACTCATGCACCCTATATAAGGGGTAGGGATATTGCCTTGCAAAGAAACCCCAAAATCGGGAGACCGCCCTCCTCCACAGAACTCGGATTCCGTAAAGCAGATCGATCAACGGCCCAATGGAGATTCCGATAAGCAATCCAAGCCCCAACGACCTGAAATCAATATCCCCAGCTTGGATCTCGAGGCAGACCGGGCAGTCCAGTATCGGCGCCGCGGGCAATGGAGCAGCAAGCGCTTGAGCGATCAAGTTTAGAATCACCCCGGATACCGAACCAGTCCCAGCAGCAGCTACAACAGTTCTATCCATGCAACTGCGCTCGAGCCCCGATTGCTGCCCGTTCCGTCATGAGTGAACATGCTTCACATCATCAGCTTCCCTGCTTACAGCGTAACTTGACCATGGATCTACCCAGGTAAAGTTTGAGCCCCCAGATTTTCCACATAACACAGAGAGTCCTCGAGCCAAAGACCTTACCCTCAACCCCATACCACTGACCCTAAAGCCTGAAGCCTCTGCCTAAACACTGCAACCAGTTACTTGCTGGCGCTTAAGGAAGAGTGGGGGATTGGACCCTTATAATATTCCCTACATAATCCCAATATATCCCCCTATAAAAGTACCCATATTCACTCCCCCACTCCTAAACCCTAAACCCTAAAACCCCCCCCCCTTAAGCACCAGTAAGGTTATGATGGGCAGGCTGCAACTCTCTAAACCCTAAACCCTAAACCCTATCCCCTAAAACCCTAAACCCCTAAACCCTAAACCCTATTATGATGGGCAGGCTGCAACTCGCACTCAATGTCGAGGGTTCCGCAGGACTCATCGCTCATCTCATCCAGGCCTGAGCCAGGGGACGGAAAGAGTTTTAGGGTTTAGGGTTTAGTGTTTAGGGTTTAGGGTCTAGGGTTTAGTGTTTAGGGTTTAGGGTCTAGGGTGTTTAGGGTTTAGGGTCTAGGGTTTAGGGGGCGTAGGGCTTGGTGTTTGGAAAAAGAAAACCGAAGCTACAATAATAGGATTTAGTAGCCGTGTAGCGTTATATAGGAGGAAAGGCTTTCATTTAAAGTTTCCAACTTCTACACCCAAAAGTCATAGGGGAGGGGTAGGGGGGGGGGGCAAAGTAGTACCAGCCCAACCCGAGACCCTAGGCATGAGTCCGAGGTCACGATGTAGGGGCCCACGCTTTTAGGGGGTTTTGGGGTGTAATATATAAGGGGACATCTTCCTGATTCTTCATGCTTAGTGTGTGCTAGATCTCAGTATTCATTACAAAGATTTGCTCAAAAAGTCCGAGTTTGCTCGACCCCAACTCTCGACCAAGTGTTCCATAGTCGGCACTATTCATAAATCTTTGTAGGAGGCTGGAAAAGATAGCAATGTGATCTAATCTAAACCCTGACAAGGCCGCAGCATCACCACCATAAATTTCTGCATGCTTCCCATGGTAGTTTCCCAAAATAGAGGTACCCCAATATAGACCCCAAAATACCACAGTCCTTATTAAGGGGACCCCCAAAAAGGTACTCCAAATTTTGGGAAACTACCCTATGGAGTCCAGAGGTCTGCAAGGAGTTCAGAATTAGGCCAGCTGATGATGAGGTCCCTGGACTAAAAACTTAAATCCTACATCTGAACCCCAAACCCTAACCCTACTGAACCCTAAGCACTAAAATCTGCTCCTTCAAAATCCTAAAGCCTACAGTAGTTTCCATTTCAATTTACAATCTCTTTGCCATTTGATTCCCCAGCATACCCATCATATACCATTCCATACCCCTCTATAATCCCTATATACACGTATACCATATATACAACCCCTACATAATCCCTTTACAACCCCTACATAATCTCTCTAACCCTAAACCCTGAACCGTAAAGCCTAAATCCTTAACCGCAAACCTGAACCTAAAACCTAAATCATAAACCCTAACTCCTAGACCCTAAACCCTGAACTGCCAACCATAAACCCTGAACCGAGGTCCCTGCTGGCCACTGGTGCAAACAGCTCCACCGGCTTCCCTGAGTTCTCCACGGCCAGATTGACCTTAGTGGGATCATGTAGGGGTATGTACAGAGCTGTATAACTCTTACTGGGATTATGCAGGGATTTACTCTAGAGATGTATAGGCATGCGATGAAGTATAGGAATTGAGATGTTGGCTTTAATGGAGGGCCCTAAGTGATTAAAATAAGGTTTGGGGGCACTATGTTGCAGTTACACATGTGAGGGGATATCAGTTTCTACATTCTTTGGCTTGGGAATGTTTAGCTTAGGGTTCTAATTTAGATTTTGCATTTTATTGTAGGGTTTGGGCCACTAGCCTTTGGGGGTTAGGAGGACTAGCTTTAAGGCTTTTTTTGAGGTTTAGGATTTAGGGTTGAGTATAACACCAGACCCCTGTACCCAAAGGTACGATGCACTATGGTCTCCCGTGGAATGCTCACTTTGTAGTGGGTCCTTTTGAACTGCAGGCGGCGCTCTTCTGACAAGAGTGGACGCACATTGAATTAATGTAGACCCATGATTAATAAACCCCCTCCGTTTCAGTAGGATCCCTTTTATAACCCCTATTAAGTTATTTATTAATCAGGGGTCTGGGATACAGCAATGTAAAGACTGAAAACGTTGGATATGTATGCCAACCCCCTTGTTTGCCAACCAAAACTGTGAAGCTGATTGTGCATGTGGTCAAGCACCTGTCAAGCTATGGTACTCTGTGGCATATGTAAGGTGTGATAGAACAGTTACTACCCAACTATACCCGAGCTGTTCAGCGCTTGAGTGGCTCTTGGCAAGGCGAGGTACGCCTACCCTGCTGAAATTCACAAACGTGTGTATACACATCTAACTGTGTATCTATGTATATATATATATGCATATATTTACATTTACATGTGTACCTGGAATACACAAGGACCAACCGAAGTCTCTGTGTCCTCAAACGCTTATTTCACCAGATCCTTATGACATCAAGAGGCTACTCACACGCACCCCTATGGAAGGTGCAGCTGCGCCCTAACGGCACCAAGTTGCCAGGACCGGCTTTGCGATGGCCAGCGAGTGCTTGGGATTGAAGCGCCCTTTGTCAAGGACTTCCAGATGAAGAGTCCTTGAAAGTGTTTTATTAAGGGTTTAGGGCTTAGGGTTTGTCGCAATCCCTAGCTCAACCCCATTAGGACAAGGAAGCTGGTCCAACAACTGTATCCGACTGTTTAGGGTTTCGGATTTTGGATTGAGACTCCGAAAGGTTTTGTTCAAGGAAGATCTGGCACAAGGATCCTGAGCCAGTCTGCCTTGTTTGGTGTTTCCTCCTTCCTACCTAGGAAGGAAGCTAGCTTGGTGATTCCAGTTGATAAACCTACTCAGCCCCAGAAAGAATCTCCAGTATTCTTTCCAAAGCATTACGGCCTAAAACCTAAACCCTACACCATTCAACCAAAATATCCAGACTTGGGGAAGTGTTGGCACTGCCTGGCACTTTAGGGTTCAGGGTCTAGGGCTCGTAGATGGATACTTTGGAAACAAACTTTACCCTACTAGTGCTTAAGGAGGAAGGAGTACCCGTGATACTAACATTGGACCTTGCTAGATTTTAGCACTGCAATTGCCAAGGTTTATGATACTTAGGGCCATGCAGGATCTTTAGTCTCCAACACATTTCAGGCTTGAAGCACGGGATTCGAGGCTTAGGGCTTTAGGAATTAAGCTTGCTTGTAGGGAATGGAGTGAGTGGAGAATCACCCTAAGCCCTAAGCCCTAAACACAAGCCCTAAACCAATCAAGTGGAATATGGAATCGAAACTGGGGCTGATGGTGATGGCACGGAGCTTCTACAAAATTGTGAGTTGATCTTCTCCGTGGCCCGTGAAATCAGGATGTCCTATCAGCCCACGCCTATTCAGGAACACATACTCATGAATTTGGGACTGCGAACCCTAAACTAGACATCCCCTGGTCTGTGGAAATTTCAGTGAAGCCTGAAGAGTATGTTACCAGTATAATACTGTAGTGTTAATTGTCTTCTGCATTTCTTACTAAGCCCCACTTCCAAATAAACTCCTGAACCCTGAAGATGTGCATGAGCCCTAAACCCTAAACCTAAACCCTGAACCCTATACCTTTAATCCTAAAACCCTAAACGTTTGACCCTGAACCCTTAAGCCACTAACCCCAGCTTCTACATTAGGGTTTGCAAGTCCATGGTCCAAAGACTAGGACCTCGAGCTTTGAGCTCACACTGTACGGGCTTGCTAGGCAGGCTTCGGTTTTAGCATTTAGGGCTTAAGGCTTCAGGCTTACGATACCACAATGGAAAGTCAGTGAAAAATGAAATGCAATTGGGATAATACTGGGATCTAGGGTTTAGGGGTTTAGGAAATAGGGACTAGAGAGTTTCAGTCCTTTGGCCTAGTTCCCTGCCCTCACCAAACTTA